AAGGCCACCCCATCCCCCCCCCCCCCCCAAAAAAAAATTTTTTTTTTACAAACAAGCAAAAAAAACACACAATAATCAGTGAGGAACTCATAGCTCAACAATAAACCACCAAACATTCTCAAGTATGTACACTTGCAACAGAACACATTAATATTGTTTTTTTTAAATTTGATTATTTATAATAATTAATTATTATTAGTCTTTTTTGGCAGTTCTTCAGATGTTACCTGGATGGGATGAATTGTTGTTCCTTTTTTTCTTTTTTTATTCATTGGCTTAAATTAGGACTACATTATTATGTAATTATTTGTCCAATTTTTTATCTAAATAATTTAGTATTTTTAAACTTTTTAAAATGCCAGATTGTATATGACATATGATTATTTATTATGTATATATGTATGATTAATTTAAATGATAAATTAATAAATAGGGTCTAAAATTAATTATAATCTATTAATGAATCTGTCTAATAATGTCTCTAATAAAATAATTAAAGCTCTGATAAATTATGGAATATTATATTAACAGACTATCCAAATTTGGATAGCAACCTTTAGAAGCACGGATGTGTCTGTCACATTAAAGGTATAGTTCATTCAAAAATGAAAATGCTGTCATACTTTGCCCAGGTTTTTCTAAACCTGCATAAAGTTCATTCATCTGTTGAACACAAAAGAAGATACTTTGAAGAATGTGGGTAACTAAACAGCTGCTGGTCCTCAGTAACTTCCATAGTAGAGAAAAAATACTAGTAAAGTCATGGGGACCACAAACTGTTCGGTTACCCACATTCTTTAAAGTATCTTCTTTTGTGTTCAACAGAAGAAAGAAATTAGTACAGGTTTGGAACAACTTGTGGGTGTGTAAACGATGACAAAATTTTAATTTTTGGGTGAACTGTCCCTTTAAGTCAGACAGTCCACAGTGAGCAACTGAAATGCCTCTCTGCAAACTGTGCGTTCATCATTAGTTACAGGACAGACCCATTGATACCTTTCCCATTCAGCCCTACATCTGGAGAGCCTTGTGTTCAAAGGGCGGACATGAGCTCCTAGATGTTTTAGACCGCGGGACAAATCGTGTCCCGTATTGATTTGATACGGGACGCATCATTTTACCTTTAAATATGGGACGATTCCGTATTTTAAGGGACGGGTGGCAACCCTACTCCCCACATTGTATCCCTAATACGTTTCAGTTATTCTAAGATCTCAAATCAAATATAATACGGTGCTCGCCGTTATCTAATTGGTTTGCTTTTGTTGGCATTCACTTGTGTTTATTCGGTTCTTTTCTGTTCTATTCTGTTTTTGTTTTTTTTTAAAGCATTTTTTGGCTTAATAAGCAAACGGGTGCAGTAAGTCATCAGGCAGAGTGCAAACAGCATTTGTGTGATGATAGCCAGAGGCCTTATTGCAAAGTTGACGAGGGATCTGCTCTTAAAGCGGCCCGAAGTCGGCAGCGCTTGTTAATTGGCCTGAAGACGCTGCTATTAGACGGAGCTGCTCTCAAACACAAGCCTATTAAAATCTACAGCTCAAATTACACTTACTTTACAGTCTAGAACAGTCACTGAAGGTGAAATACTGTAGCAAAACTGCAGATCTGCAGGTCTGCAGCGAAAGTGGGCATCTTTATAGCCGATTCCCATTTGACGGTTGTGCTTCTTTCTTTACTTGATTTTTTTTTCTTTTCAATTTTAAGAGTTATTCAGATGTGGTGCCGTCTTTAAGTAAGATGTTGCCTATTTTGCCTTCTCATTTCCCCCCCTTTTCCAACGGTAGCTGGTAGGCCCCTCACCAAACTCACTAACCGTGGTAACAATACATACACATGCGGGCGATGGCGGCGAATGGTAAGTGGAGAGCCATCTGCCATTTCACGAACTCCGCGCTGATACCTCGTGACTGTTTTTTGACTTGATGTTGAGTTTCTTGATGCTGTTTTCTCTTGGTACGCGTTACTTGAGTGAACATTTAGCTTCCTGAGAGGCTCTGATTGGATTGAACTGAATCGTGCGCATCCTACTCAGATTCTGAACTCCATGATTATGTTAAATAATGCACCCTCTTTTTATATTCTTTGTTAGCTGTCCTTTCGGCTTGAATGATTTTCTTTCGTAATGACTTTTTTTTTATATATATATATATATATATATTTTCCTTTCTGATTATTCTTCTTGTGATGAAGCACAAGGCTCTTGGAGTGTTGAATGCTAAATGTTGCTTTGTTTTCCGACTGTACCTCAACTCTGAATGTTTAGTGTATGTTGCGCAGTGCCAAACGTTTTTTCTTTCTTTCCATTCCTGCGTTTTCTTTCTTTTCTTTTAACCTAATCGTTCCCTCTCCACTGCATGCTGTCTCATATTCGATGCCTTTCATTTGTTGAGTGCATTTTGTGTGTTTTTGTTGTTTTTTTTCTCTATGTACTCCTTCAACTTGATCTTTTTTTTGATGACGCATGCTGACGAGTCTTTTTATGAGACTATTGCATATATTTTCTTTGCTTTATGTGTCTTACCACTTTTCTTTAACTGTTTGTTATGATCTGTAATCATTTTGAAAAGCTTCACTGTAATGCATGCAATATTTGTTAAAACAATATTTTCAGTATTACAGCTTTAGCTTCAGTATGTTTCTTGCTCACACACTTCTGTTTGTGCTCAGGTTAACAATGCAACAGCACGGGTAATGACGAATAAAAAGACCGTCAACCCATATGCAAACGGTAAGAACAAGTTTCATTAATATTGCGAAGCATCATACCGCTTTCTATTATGTTTTGATGGGCTGATAAACAGTGTTGGGAAGGTTGCTTTGGAAATGCAATAAGTTACAGGTTGCAAGTTATAATAAGTAGTGTCAACTATTTCAATTACTTTATTAAAGTAATGTAACTGATTACATGTGATCACTTTTTGATTACTTTTCAAAATGTCTAACAAATGTATTCAACTGTTAATCATTTTGAAACATTTAAAGCAGGCAGGGTTAACCTTACAGTAGTACTCAGCACTGATGTCAGACTTTCAGAATCCATCACTTGAATATAATAATTTCATTTGAAAACGTAACCACCACAAAATCAGACTTTAGCACCTCTTTTTTACTTTGAGATTGTTCTGAGGTTAAATACTGATTTAAGATGTAGCCTAGTTTAATAGCTATGATACTGTTTTTGAAATCAAATCTTTGCATATCTATGACAGTAAATACTGGCATCTAACAATGCTTTTGGAAAAAAATTGGTTTTTTTTTAAAGCATGTACATAAAACCAAATAAAACCGTTATTAAATAAGCATGTGTCCTAAACTCCTGAAACATTGGTGTCTCGTATTTTAAAACAGTCAATGCAATTTTGGAAAGAAATCAATCATATCTGTATGTGTGTGGAAATATTCAGATGTAACCCCCTTTGTAATCGTTAACATCTTCATAAGTAACTGTAATTTAATTCCAATTTTTTTTTCTCAGTAACTGTAACAGATTATATTTACATTTATTTACATTATTCCATTACATGTAAGTTACTCCCCAACACTGCTGATATATTGGCCAGTCCATTGTCAGTTCAGACACAATACTTATTTTAATTATTTGGGTAAACATGTTTTGTATTTTGTTTTATATACAATTTTTTGAGTGCATAAAAAATAATAATACAATAATTTGATAACATTCAATTGTATTGTATCATCTGAGGTCTGTGTCTGAGACCACTAGTAAAATGGTTCTGTTCAATTTTTCTCATGTATACTAATGCACAAATTACATCAGTCGAACATTTTGAGTAAAAAGTTGAATTGATATTCCTTTAATGACAGCAGCACTGTTACACATTTGTATAAAACCTGAAGATCGTGTTCTCAAAAGAGCATCTTGTGCAGATCAGTGTCACAAATGTACTCATTTATTTACCAACCCAGTAACAGTGCAGAATATTAAATATTTCATATTCATTTAATGCTTATTAGCATGCTATTTTGCAAGTTTCTTTTTACTGTCTTATTCACACTCAGTAGCTTTCTGTGGCCACAGATTCAAACGAAGTTCTTGTAATTCTCGGCTTTCTGAAAATGGTTTTCACTGCAGTTCTCTTCCTCACCGAAAAAGTTTAAATGGAAGTGAAATGCTGAGACAACCTTTTAGATCCCAGTTGATATCACTGAAATCTCTCTCTTTTTTGTACTTATGGAGGGCTTAAACAGACAGGCCATTTGTAGAGGTTAGAATCAGAGAGAAATCTGTCAGGCTGCTCCGTGCCCTTTCCTTACTCTGGATGACAGCAGTGCTTCAGTGTGGTCAGCCCTCTACTGACATCATTACGCATTGGCCTGGAGGTTCTAGTTAGCCAGAATCCATCTCTATGTCTTGTGTAGGATCAGATGTAAATTTCTAGTGGTGCAGACCGAGGTGGCTAATATCAGATCTCCCTCTCTGTCTTATGTCTAGGCTGGAAGTTGAATCCAGTCATGGGTGCAGTCTACAGCCCAGAATTCTATGCAGGTGAGTGGATCCGCATTTAAAAGAAACTGGCTCTGTAATTCATTATACCTTTAGTAAAAAGATTGGGTATGCATGTTATTCCAATGATGAAATAGTTAGATTTTTGGACATAGAAAATAGCTCCAACAAAAACAAGACTTTTGAAAAATGTAGGGAAGAATGCCATGGGAAATTATCAAAAGCATTTTTTTTCTTAAAAAGTAAAATTGTAAAATGTATTAATTATTTGTAAATGTAGAACTCCTATGAATTAAAATGAACCAAATCATTATCATTTATCTTCACCTTTCTGTAGATTTTCTGAAGTTTTGTGTTCTTTTTTTGTTGTGTTCTTTATGAATAAACGCAATCATATTACGATAAATGCTGCAAATGAATAATTGCACAAAGCATCACTGTAACACAGAGGGTTAAATGCATTTGCATTTAGGGCTAATGGGCAGCTTCACTAATGTGCTTTCACTGCAAAAAATGCTTTTCTTACTTAGATTTTTTGTCTTGTTTCCAGACAAAATATCTAACAATTCTTTAATCAAGAAGAATTTTCTAGACAAGTAAAAATTATTGTCTTGTTTTCAGAAAAAAATCATGTCAAAATTAAGTGAGTTTTTGCTTGAAACAAGCAAAATAATCTGCCATTGGGGTAAGAAAAATAATCTTGTTATCTGTTTGAAATAAGATTATTTTGCTTACCCCATTGGCAGATTATTTTGCTTGTTCTAAGCAAATAAAACACTTCATTTTGACTATTTTTTTCTGAAAACAAGACAATAATTTTTACTTGTCTAGAAAATTCTTCTTGATTTAAGAATTTTTAGATATTTTGGCTGTAAACAAGACAAAAAAAATCTAAGTAAGAAAAGCATTTTTTGTAGTGTTGTGTGTGAAAAAAGTTCTAAACCCACAAGCCCTGAATCATCTGTTTATGAACACTGCAGAGGATATGAAATGGTCAATTACTCTGATATCAGACATGATATTTTCATATTCCTTTCAAAAAGCAAGTTTTAAAGCTCACTGTTTTCCTGTTATGTTATTTTATTACCATATATTGGACTTAAAGTGGCTCCAAATAGTATTGGCAGCTTAAAAATGTATGAATCTCATTGCATTAGATAAGTCACTGGATGAAAAATCAAAGAAAGCGCCATTCATTTTGAAGAAAGAAAGTGCACTTTTCACGCTAATAATTTGATGTTTCATAGTAAATACGATGAACTACACCAGTGGTTACTCTGCTAATAAAACTACTCCAGAAATGCCCCCAAAAAGTTACTTGTTATTTGTTATAGATGCCACTAGCCCAGCTAACAAAAATTTGTTCTAAGTACATTTTGCTAATATTTCCATTGTAATATGAAAACATTATATCTGAACATTCAAAACATTTTTAAAAAGTGTTATTTTGCTTATGCAAGTGTCAAAGGAACATTCCATTTTATAATGGGAACATTACTTGTGAATGTTCTCTGAATATTCTGAAACAAGTAGTGACATTTAAAAACGTTTCAGAAATAAAACACTCCATGAGCAATGTATAAGTAATGTTTTTGTGCTAATGCTTTGAGAACATTAGTAAAGACCAGGTAACGTCTCGGTTACGTATGTAACCCTCGTTCCCTGAAGGAACGAGGTTTCCACTGATATAGGAAATTGGGATCTCGCTTAGGGGGACCAATCTACTTTGAGTGTAAACTAAACGAGCCAATGCACATTGGCATGCGATTATTGCATCCAGCTGCTGCTGATCACGGCGTGAGTATAAGTAGGCAGCAGATGCAGCGCATATTCAGGTTTTCGCTGAGGAGCCGAGCCGGTGACCCGGCCGCTCAGCGGTGGTACAGGAGCTGTGGCGACGGGACGTGACATCTCCATTCCCTCCTTCAGGGAACGAGGGTTACATACGTAACCGAGACGTACCCTTTCAGTCGGTCTCTCTCGACGTCATGTCGGATGACCGACGAATTGGGATCCTACCAAAAGGCCACAGCTACCGCCCCTTCCAGTGTCCTGTGGAAGCTACCTGCACCCCTACTTTTTGGCGTAGACCAGGGCCTGCACAAGAGGACCAGCTACTGCTACTATGGCACTACCCACTGAGTAGGCTGGATAACACTGGGGAAACGCACCCGTTCCACTTGGAACAGGGACGTTACGGAAGCTCGAACCTTCCTGAAGGAGGTTTCGGAAGCAATACACATATGGACATCCCTTAGGTGCATATGGAAGAATGGAGGTGATTGAACCCTCTTAGAATGGCAGAAGTCTGCCGGGGAAACACGGGCTCAAGGCTATACCGTGGACTTCACACATATGGGATCCACTTAGGTCTTACATATGGAACCCAGCCTTCTACCGGTTCTCGAGGATTCAACGAGTGAAGGCCTGGTGCCGGACTCTCCGCCACGTCTGGCTGCCGAGGGGACGGAGGAGCTAAACAGGGTCTACTATATGGACTCTCTGGAGTGGTTTTGCAAGCCGACCCGAAGCCGGGGCCTCTCAGTGCTTCTACCCGTTTGAGGTGAGAACACAGGAGGATACCGGCTCCAAACGAAGGCTATAGAATCTAGCGAATGTGTTAGGGGTCGCCCAGCCCGCAGCCCTACAGATATCTGCCAGTGAGGCACCACGAGCCAGCACCCAGGAGGATGCAACACCTCTAGTTGAGTGAGCTCGCAACCTGAACGGGCAGGGCACACCCTGTGCCTGATAAGCCAGGGTGATGGCATCCACTATCCAGTGGGCCATCCTCCGCTCGAGACGGCATTCCCTTCTGCCGGCCTCCGTGACAGACAAAGAGCTGCTCTGAGGTCCTGAAGCTTTGCGTCCGGTCAATGTAGCACCTTAAGGCTCGGACGGGACAGAGCAAAGCTAGGGCTGGGTCTGCCTCCTCCGAGGGCAGCGCTTGGAGGTTCACCACCTGATCCCTGAAGGGAGTAGCGGGAACCTTGGGCACATGGCCGGGCCGGGCCGGGGCCTCAGGGTCACCTGGGAATCAGCCGGCCCGAAATCTAGGCACGAATTGTTGACCGAAAATGCATGCAGGTCCCCTAACGTCGTCTTTAGAAAGACGCACCCGAATTTGCTCTTTTAGGGGAAAAAGCTCTTTAAGCGTGCTGAGGCGCACCGGGGAGATGATCATCTGCAACACAAACAGGGGGTAGTGCAGCCTGATGTGTGCAACCCACTCAACACGGGAAACCCCCACCACTGAAGCGCCGTCCGCCAACACGAAGAGCTCTCCAAGAGCACGCTGAACTCGTTCAGTCTTCTTCTCTCCGAAGAGTAGTCAGGAGCAGAACGATGTGATCGCTCGGCTCCTCAGCGAAAAGCTGAATATGCGCTGCATCTGCTGCCTACTTATACTCACGCTGTGATCAGCAGCAGCTGGATGCGATAATCGCATGCCAATGTGCATTGGCTCGTTTAGTTTACACTCGAAGTAGATTGGTCCCTCTAAGCGAGATCCCAATTCGTCGGTCCTCCAACGTGACGTCGAGAATGACCGACTGAAAGGGAACTCGGAATGAACATTGCTAGAAGAATGTTTGTTCCTAACTTTGAGAGAACCTTGCCAGAATGTTAACCTGAGAATGTTCTGAGAATGTTCCTTGTTAGCTAAGTGGTTTGAACAGAGTGGGTGGTAGAATGAAATTCTAACATTTTAAGTGTGATTTAAAAGTGTCCAGATACTTGTCGGGTCTTTGTCAGTGTTGTTCAGTTTTTGGTTAAAAATATCAACCACAAACAAGCAGAAAATTGTAGCAGTTGTTGTTTAACTGCATTATTTGACGGAGGCATAGTTCTGGGCCTGGTGTTTGGAGGTGTGTATAATGCGTGACCTTAATCTACGGGCTCTGGCATCAGCTTGAAAGAGCTGGCAGGCAGGAAGTGATTATTCTAATCACTCAAAGGGCCTGTTTCACAATGTGCATCTGTGTTCGCTGGCCTATTGGCAAGAGGCTCCAAGACGCCATTGTCACAACTGCAAACACGCTACCCATCTTTGAAAACATAATCCAGCGAGCTTCCAGACCCCCAGGGCTTAATTTCATTTTATGGGCCTTTGAAATCAAACGGGTTTCGCTGGTTGAAACACACGCTGAACTCTTTTTCTCTCGTTTACTTCGGTCATCTCCTCCATAACCTTGGCCATCCCAGCCTCTGACCTTCCCCGAACATCATTACCTCCTCCATTATATGGGAAAATATCAAGATTTTATGATAATAAGAAGAAACGGGAAGGCAAAAATATTGAGGTGATGGTTAAATCGAATTGTCTGTCGACGCAAGGGCATCAAAGGGCTGAAATATATTTTATAAATTAAAATCAATATTTTCAATTTCTCTAGACAGCCGTTTGCCTAATTCAGCGCACATTCTGTTAATTACAAAATGGCTCATTATTGATTTGCTTTCGTCTCACCTTTCAAGTGTCCAAACAGCCCACATCCCATTAAGGTGCGAATGTTTTGTTCTTCCCAGCACTCACCGTTTCTTTTCTTCTTTTTTTTAAAATCTTTGTCTTAATTATAATTAAAGCGTCGTTAATACGCCCGAATTGTGGCGATATCGGAAAACGCCTCAGATCTTTTCGTTTGTCTAATTGCAGAAATAGGCTTTGGCACGTAGCTGCTGGGATTGCAGATAGAAAGACTGCACAGAGCGATTGAGCGTGAATTTGAATGGTGGCTAGTAAGCTAGAAAGTTACCTATATAAACAAATATCCTGAAGGACCGGGATGGAAAAGGAGCGTCTTTGATTCATGAGACAGTCAGATGTGTGACGTGAGGTTAGTTTCTGAACAAGCCTCAGCGGTCGCCACTCGAAGCGGCTCTCACCTGCGGCAGACTGTTGATTTAAGATAGCTTTGATGTTCATTAACAGTTCTCCGGCTGAGGCGAATGAAAGCTATTGGCACAAGGCTGAGGGATGACCAACGTGCCAGACCTCGCTTGTCTGCCAGGCTGATCTCTGATTAAGTATTACGGCTGACGGA